CTAGGCACCCTTAGCCGAGTGCCCCTTATTTGCTACCATAAAACCCAGGATGGAGCCAAGATATAGGCCCTCTGAGCAGCTATTTCTGGAGGCTTCCCACACCTGGTGGTCACTGGCCCAGCAGCATGGAGGGTAGATGTTCATCCCTGGAAGGCAGCCGCCAAGTTTTACACTCCTGTTCCCTCAGCAGGAGGAGACCGGCCTGGCATGCTCTGCAGTTTTCGGATCCCTGGGGCCTGGTCCTGTGCATGGTCCCTGAACATCCAGGCAAATAACTGCTTTAGTACAGGTGAGCTACAGCTGACGCCCCACGTGCCCAGGAAGAAGCATTTCACAGACCTTAAACCCCTGCCCACAGTCGTTCCCCGCAGACTGCGGGTAACGCTGTCTCCCCACCCATCTCCGTGTCTGTCAGGTTTGTCTCGGCGAGTCCTGGTGACCAGTGTGGTGACGGGGCACCGGCAGTCCTTCGGGACCAGCAGCGATGTCTTGGCCCAGCAGTTTGCGCTCATGGTTGGTTGGATTGGAAGGGTGTGCATAATACACAGTTTCCCAAGAGTGGACATTTTGCTGGATTGAAATGGGATTCCCTGTGTGGCATCTAGTGGTTCTCCCTCTTACAGGGAAAAAGAGGGCAGCAGAAGGACTGACGGTTACTTGGTGAATAAGTCTGTGCTGAGTGAAATTTGGCTGATCCAGAAATGCCTGGCTTAGCTGGCTTTAAACAACTTCCTGTTTAAATAAATTGTTAGCAGTTCTTGAGTACTTCGATTAGCCAGCAGCACAAGTCCTTTTTTTAATGTGTAAATCAAGTACCAATTCATAACACCTAATAGTTTTATATGCAACTGTCAGATACACCTTTTATATGTTAAACAATCAAGATTCTTCTTATTGCTACATTTCAAAGACTTGACCTGTAGAAATGCCACCTTTCTTTAAAAGTGTGGAAGGAGATGTGCCTGCTTTGGACAATAAGCAGAGGTCATTATTCAGGGTTCCTCAGTCATCTTCCCACTCTCTTTGGGACCCAGTGTCTTTATCTGGATCTTTCTCTCTCCCCTTCCCCACTCACCACCCAGCTTCTCACTAAAGACCTGGGAGGAGGCAGGGTGCCATCACTTCACAGGGAGGGGGGGTCAGGGTGAGACCTTAGGTGCCAGTTGCAGCCATTGGGGAGGACACTGGAGAGACATGTAGCATCCAGTTCTTTGACCTTTCTAAGGACCCTTCCAACTCCACTGAGGCTCAAACCCTAAGGAACCTGTCTGCACCTGTACTTCTTACCAGGGGCTGGGATAGGGGAGGGGAAGCAGGGGTTATATTCCAGAGGTCTCAGCCCTCCCAGCCTTGGTAGGGAGGTACTGAGCAGCCCCTCTTTCCACAGGCTCCCTTGCTGTTTAATGGCTGTCGTTCCGGGGAGATCTTTGCTATTGATCTGCGTTGTCGAAATCAGGGCAAGGGCTGGCAGGCCACCCGTCTGTTCCACGACTCAGCAGTTACCTCTGTACAAATCCTCCAAGAAGAGCAATGTGTCATGGCATCCGACATGGCTGGAACGGTAGGGGTGCCACTGACTTTCTCAGGCTGCTGGAGCTGGTGGCCGAGAGCTCTGCCAGGTGGAAAGGCTCTGCCGAAGAGACCCTCATGCCAGACAGCAGCCGGGGAAAGGCAGTTGGAGACCAGGCGAGTTGTGGGCTGTGCGGGGCTTTGCTGCCCACTGGAAGCCCTGCCCGGTCTAAATAGACATGAAGCTGGTTCCGGTGCTTTTAATGGAAGCAAAGGCTTAGGAGTTTGAGACTTAGATTTTTCTGACATGAAGAGTTCTTTGGAGACCACATCACCCTCTCTGGCTTCTGTGCCTGGGGTTCACCAGTGTACCTGCTGGACCCTCCCTAACGGCCCCTTGTGCTTCTTCCCACAGATCAAGCTGTGGGACCTGAGGACCACTAAGTGCATAAGGCAGTACGAAGGGCACGTGAACGAGTATGCCCACCTGCCTCTGCACGTGCATGAAGAAGAAGGAATCGTGGTGGCAGGTACCTGGGGATGAGGAGATTGGTTTCATCAAACACTGTCCCTTAGGTACCCAGCAACTTAAGTAGACGAGGGAGAAATGACTCCAAAACAAAACCGAATAAAGGAATTTTGGACTCCTGGGGTCAGGGAGACGACAGGATGTAGAATTGGACATTAGTAAACAAGAGTTTAAAGTGCAATAGAACATAGTGACTGAAGAGACCTGGGTGAGGGGTTTAAGTCTGTTCACCAGGTGGGCATTCAATGCGACCCTCATCCTATCATGCAGCTGTCCCGTCGAAGACGTTGGGCTCCCTGTCCTTTTTGCTCTTACATCCACCAGCGGATGCCAAGAAAAGAGATTGAGGTCCTTGAAAGGAATTGATGGCTGGGTCTCTTTAACAGCACTACTGTGAACACATGATTTGCAGAATGGAAGCAGAGCTTCCTAGCACCAAAACCCCTTGAAAGTAATTACAAGTTGATCATAGATTATAGTGCTTCTGGGCTATAGAATATTCTGTTAGCATGAAAATTGGACAGTTTCACAGATGAAATAGTAGGCCCTACTATTAAGGGATATGTTCTCAGTCTTCACAGATCCTCAAATTTGCTAATAGTCCTACAGGAAGTACCTATTTGCTGTGAGTTTTTTTGTGTGGCTAAGAAGCATCATTTTAGAACTTTCTTAGGCATTATTTATTACTCTCACCACCAACAGTCTGTTTTCCCCAAGTTTTCATCTCAGAAGAGTTTTTGTGTTCTGGATAGTAGAAAATAGCCTTGTTGAGAGGCAGATGTGGGTAGTAGGCGGGCTGCAATAATCTTCGAACTGCACAACCTGAACTGAACCATAGCTGGTCGTAATGTCATTCAGGTGGTCAAAAGCACACACTGAAATCCATGACATCTAAGGTCTGCCCTCCTCCCTGAAGATCTCCAGTAGCACATGTTGTCTGGGCTGCCGTAACCAATGGTGTCAGGTGTCAGATTCCTCCCAACGGTGACGAGGACTATCCGGTCTTGTGTACTGAACCTTATTAAACTAGGAAGCGCTCTGGGGAGGGTTGTCACCTGGTTTGTCCCCAGGATACAATGAAGTTAAGAGATCTTCCTGGTTACCATTTCATGAAAAAGAAATCAGTTGCATGTCATCTAGACCATGTGGGTTGGGTTCCCTCTTCAATAGCCCTTGACACCAAGAGAAGCAGGATGCCCACCTGTTAGCCATGGTGCCCCATGAGCCACCCAGGGTGTCACAGCCAGCCAGTGCCTCTTGTCACTTTGAGTGCCTGCAGTTAGCTGTGGTTTTAGAGACCCAGGGCGACCTGTAACTTTAATTTTCAAAAAGTACATCTTATCAGTAGAAATAATTTGTTTGGAGTTTGTTTTGGCTCACATGGACTCATCTTTAGCCCTTAGGAATCATGGGAGAAAACCAGGTCCACAAATTGTCCTCTGCATTCTCTCACTAACCTGCCACCTGCCTTCCCTCTTTCTCAGTGGGCCAGGACTGCTACACGAGAATCTGGAGCCTCCACGATGCCCAGCTGCTCAGAACCATACCCTCCCCTTACCCCACCTCCAAGGCCGACATTCCCAGCGTGGCCTTCTCTTCTCGGCTTGGGGGCTTCCAGGGAGCGCCGGGGTTGCTCATGGCCGTCCGGCAGGACCTTTACTGCTTCTCCTACAGCTAATTCTGAGGGTGCAGCCTGGAGGGAGGTGGATGTGACTCAAGGGAGTGAAGAGTAGCCATGTTTTTGCCACAACTGCTGTTTGCAGTGAGGTTATTTTGTTTTAAATGGATGCTCCATGTATGCATATCCCATCCATCCATCCAGCTGTGGGGGAACGGGTGCTGTTTTATGTGGAGACACTTCAGTAAAGTTATTTCAGTTAAGTTGTGGGCTCAGAAGGCTTAAAAGTCCTTTTCATAAAAGGTACCTATTTCCTTTTCTTGTTGAATTCCTTAGAGTACCCCCTCCCGCTTTTTTTTTTTAACAAAAAGTACTTTTCTAAGGGCTTAAGATTGACAATAATTAAATTAAAGCTTGTTCTTTCACCAAAAGCCCTTTCAAGAAACCTAATGATGAGGCCAGGCAAGACTGTCGGAGCCGGTGCCTGGGTCCCAGAAATATGCATGTGTACTTACAGTCAGCTGGAGAGCAGGGGAAGTCATTTCTCTGAGAATCTAGAGAAAGATTTAAGGCTAGAGTTGGAAATCATGAAAGTAGCCTTTTCAGACTCACTCTATATTAGTATCAGATGTCTGGGATTCTCCTTTATTACCATTCATAGGCATTGGAAAGAAAGATGGTTCTTTTTAGATGTTAGAGGTTTTAAACAGGCCTTACCATGCCTTAGTTGAGGCACCTTCCAGAATGTTAGGTACAGCAGCTCTTGTTTCTATCATGGTGACTTCAGTGTCAGGTTCAGGGGGCCCCATCTCAAAAAAAAAAAAAACTGGCTTTTGACTTTTTGTCATCTAGGAGAAGCAGTTTGTGAGATGTTTATACAAAGTGTTAAAGAGCCGGTGTTTCTACCAAACAATAAACTAGAAAGAACCATGGCATGGTGTGTTGCTTTTGTTAATAATTTAGAAGATCATGATGCTTGGCTGCTGTAGCAGCAGGCCAGCTACAGTAACATCTCAAATCTTAGGGCAAAAGGGCAGAGACTGAGACCAGCTTCAGTGGCTCTGCTGGAGAGCTTCCACTTTCCCCTGCAGATCCACTCCATGCCCAAGAGGCTGGCCTCTGTGGACATCAGGTTCAGCCAGTGGGATGAAGCAGCAGGAAAGCAGAGGGCAGGAGAGTGAGGTGGGATTGTTACTTCCCAGGCACCCCTCCTGCTGGGCTGAGGCTCTCTTCCTCTGTGGGAACACAGCTCTGTTTCCAACAACTCTCCATTTGTCCCTTCAGACCTATAGCTGATAACTACCTCAGTGTTGCTAGCCCAGGATGCTTCACCAATTAAACTCTCTTCAGTTACCCCCTTGAGTGTTACATATCTGTCCTGTCAGAACCCTCCTACAACTTAATGTACAGAGAACGAAATCCAAAAAAACAGGAGAGTATGAAATTGATCATCTGATGGATGAGCTTAATGTTAATAACATATTTTTAGTGCCTTATGTTTTATAAATAACTTGCCCCCCATCTTACCTGATTTGACCCTTATAACAACCTGTGAAGGAGGTAGGACAGGAGTAGTAATACTAAAATTATTAGCATCATTTTCTGGGCACAGAGAAATTGAATGATTTGCCTTCCATCACAGACCTGTTAAGTGGAGAGCTGGGACTTGGAACCAGAAGAGGTCACATTCTCTAGGTTGTGTGAAAAGTGGTTAAATTTAGCTGAGAAGTTGATTAAGCATTTTGGTGTGTTTGTTTGTCTGTTATGTTTGCTTGTTAGAGTGTCCTGAAAATTACTATGTTACACAGTCTGGAAGCGTTTTTCACTTGCAAGTCTATTAGGGCATTTTGCCCTTCCCCCAGGTGACAGTGAAAGGTAGAGAATGAACAGGCAATGGTGAAAGCAGCACTGAGCTCAAATAAACCCTTTGCCATTTGCTTGCTTGTAGCCTTCTAAACAGAGGACAGCAGTGGCACAAACTGGTTACCAGAAATGCCCACGGATAAACACCTGCCTCATGCTCCATCCTCCTCTGCAGCCACCCTAGGATCCAGCTGGCCCCGCCTGCTCTGGAAAGCACTGGCGGCTGCCTTCTGGTCCCGAAGCAAGGGGACCCGGAAGTGTCCTTTGAGACCAAGTTAGCCCCAGTTACCTGTCAGCCCTTGTTCTGTCCTGGTCTAAATCTTCCACACAACCAGCTCCGAAAACAACTGCAGGATGAACTCAGTCTCCTCCTCTATTTCTCCATTAGTAGGTGTTGGTAAAAAGCCCCTGGGCCCACTTTTTTAAGTCTTCCTCCCCAGGCCACTGCCACAGGAGTGACCGTCCCAAAAGATCCCTGCGTTTAGTGGCTTCTTGGGCCTCAGAATAGAAGGTGCGGCCTCCTGAGATCTGACCCCGTGTGCTTCACCTTGTTACCCCTGCTCCACCTCCCACCTGGTGCTCTCAGGACACGCTTCCAGTCCCTCCCTCATCTGGGCCTCTGCTCCAGCTGTCCTCCACTCGGCTTCATCTATAAAAGGCCAGCTATTAAGTCTCAGCTTCACAGAAACCTCCAGCACTTGCCACAGCCAGACACAGTACACTGAACGAACAATTTCTGCATCATTACTTCCTTATCATTCTTAGGACCCTATGAAGTAGGTGAAGGTCACTCCAATATACTGAAGAAAAAAACTGAAAAGAAAGCAATTTGCCCAAGGTCATCTACTAGTAAGTGGCAGAGCCGGCAGGGTCTCCGGCTCAAGTCCCAGAATGTATTAGGCCCCTTGTGTTTGACAGAATGGAATTTCTGCTTTTCCTCTGGAAGGAAACAACCTTTTTTTCACTTTATTTTTACTTAACCTCTGGAAGGTTAAGATCTCCTCGACATAATTTTCCTTTCTTCTTTCCTCAAGACCAGCCACTTCTGTCTCCTGCAGGTGACTTCTGGACACATCTCCCTGCTTGTTCCTATCACCCACGCACCTGCACTCCTGGCTTCATTTGAATACAAGCTGCTGCAAGAGCAGGGAGGACACTGGATGTGCAGGCAAGAAAAGGACTGCCAGCGGCTCTGACACTGGGCTACCTCCCCTTCTCTCTACTGGTCTGACCAGTGTAAGGGGGAGAGTTCAGAAAGCTTTTCTGCATCATTCCTATGTGGTCAGGCCAACCCAAATGCCCCTGGACAATAGGACCAGCAGCCAGGCCACCCTGTACACATCCCGCCTCCCCAGACCCTCCCCACCCTGCCCCCCTTGCCCAGAAAATAGAAGAGAAGGACAAGAAGAACAGGAGCAGGAAAGAGAAAGATGGGAGAAAAGATGGGGCACAGAAGGGAGGGGACAGCGACAAGAGCAGACAGTGGAGAGCAGGAGCTGTTCAACAGGAGGTGGACAGACCAAGCAGGGCAGAGGAGCAAAGAGCGAGTGACAGGTGCAAAGGTGGAAAACAGTTTCTCCCCAGTGTTTCCAGAGGTCACTAGTGACACCTAGTCTCTTCTGTGAGAGAGGTCCCCAGGGGATTGAGGTGTTTACAGTTAAAATATTACCGTCTCTCACTTGGCTTTTGCTCTGAGAGCCACCAGCTACTTTCCCATCAATTAGAAAGAGGCAGCAAGATGTGCTGATGGAGTTAGAGGAAAAAGGCAGCAAGTCCACATTCCGCAGAAGATTCCTTTATGACGGCGCGTTTGATAATACACGGTACTAGGGCAGGGCCTCGGCCATTGGGCCATGGGAGGCAGGAAGGGAACAGGTCTGCAGAGGACCGACACATTCCAGGGCTCACGTCACAGTGACACTCACATCAAAAATGACCGCCACATATCTCCCTGAAGCTCGGCCCACCCACCAGTCAACCAAGAACGATGTCGCTTTTAATTCTTCGTTTTTGGCCACTGAAGATAAACTCCACCATGCTCTCAAGATTTCAGCACAACAGTCCTTCCAGTCACGATAGGTACGGATGTCCCAGCTCTTGCTGAGAAAAGTTCATTTGACTTCTCTTTCCAGGACCGAAGAGAGAATTTTTTCTTAATGATCTGCTGAAATGTTTATATATACTATTTAAAAAACCAAACAGCTAACAGTCCAGTCTGTGCTCTGTTTCCCTGGAAGATTTCTCATGATCACCCCTCCAATGGCTAGAGGGGCCATGTGTCTGGGAACAAAGAATTAAGACACTTTGAAATAAGCAAAAATCCTAGTGCAACACTCAGTGGATGGTGGGCTCTAGGGGGCTGGAAAGGGAGAGAAGCAGGTGCTCTACATCAGGGCAGGGAAAGCCAAGTGGTTGCACAGACAGAAGCATCAACAAGCAAGAAACACTGCTGGGGAAGGCCTGTCTCCCGTGATCTCCCCAGGAACAGGGGATGTCATGTCACCTGCTCCTGGACTCTCAGGGCCGAGGACCCTACCTCTCACCCTCCACCCATCCGTGACCTGCACGCTAGGCTGAGGGGTTGCTGACTGAAACAGGCTTAGGCCAAGAATTGGGATCCGCCTCTGGAGGGCCCAGGGAGATCCCCTGCGGGCTGTTCCAAGCAAGAAGTACCTGGGAAGCTCCCTTCCCCCGGCAGCTGAGGGGCACGAAGGCTTCGAAGGCTCGGAGAGAAGCAGCAAAAGGTGACTGACTAGCAACACACAGTGGCTCCGGACCTGGCTCGGTTTTGTGGGGAAGACCTGCTGCCACTGCCACCTTACCCCGGTGCTGGGGACAGACTGCAAGTCTCTGCAGCCAGCAGCAGCCTGAATACACGCCACGTTCCTTTTATATGTCTATACGGGTATATATATATATATGTATTATTTTTAACTGACATAAAATGCAACGGATTCAGGTTCATTCCCCTTTGCTATAATATAAGCTGCTCGGTCCCCTGCCCTGAGGGGTTCACACCTTCGGGCCTGCCGCCAGGCTCACCCCAGCTCGCCACCTGCCCACCCCACACCGTGGGAAAGTGGCCCCAAGATGAGGGAGGACACATACCACAAAAGGTGAGCAGGAGGAGGGCCTACCTCAACAAGACTTCTGTTTCTAACCCTGAGAACCTAAGGAATTGTGAAGGACTCGGAGAGGGAGCTGGGGTTAAAGGTCACCAGGCTTTTTATTGCAGTTAAAGCAGACTCGGACAGGATGGTCCCAGCCTCGAGAGGGGACAGCCCGGCGGTCATGGGAACACTCGTCACAGAAGCCCTGCCCGCAGGCCCGGCAGTGGTGCTTGGAAAGCTTGATGCTGAACTCCTTCCGGCAGTTGTGACAGTGCAGGATCTCGTGGTCGGGTACCCAGTACGCCGGCCTGGCTGCGTCCTTCACCAGACCTGCAGCAGGGAAGGAACCACGATGGCGGGGGGGACATGCAGAACCCAACACCCCGAGTCCCACCAGGCAAGAAGCCATCCTCAGACACTTCGTTCATTGGCTCCCAGTCTAACTGCACACAGAATCCCCTATGGAGCTTTTAAACGTGCAGACGCCGGACCTTCAGCCCTTCCGCCCAGGTCAGGGCCTCTGGGGCTGGGGCCTAGGCACTGACATTTGTATATGAAGCTCTCCAGGTGATCCTGAAGGGCAGCTGGATTAAAACCACTGGAGTAACGACAAAGACGTCTGGTCTCCGGAGTCAGGACTTATCTTCATCCCAGTTCCACTGAGCTTGAGTTAGTAGCTACGGGATTAAGAGAGGTTTCTTAACTTCTCCGGGCCTTGGTTTAGTCATCTTTAACAACCCACCTTCAAAAGTGGTTACAGGATTACAAGAAGTAATGTGTCTGACACACTGGGACCTGACAGCCAGCGAGTGAGCACCCGTGAGCAGCACTGGCAGGGCTCCTGCCTCTCCCAGTTGCCTCTGGGCATCAAACCTGGGCGAATCCACCTATCCCTGCACTCTAGAGTCAAAAGCTCATCATCAGCTCATTCTGTGAGCTACAGTGATGATCCAAGCAGT